CTACAAGAAGCAGGAAGCTAGTAGGTTGGAGGCCATCGCTACTAGTATTATGACATAAAGCTGCCTGCTATGTCTATAAAATCCTAACATAACTATTTTCGGAAAATAGTAGGAATAAAATAGAAACAAAGTAGGAACTGAAAATAGGAAAAAAAGGACACAAAGAGGATGATTCTCAAAAATAGGAAAAGAAAAGAGCTGGATTTAGAAATAGGAAAGGAAAAGAAGGAAAAGAATGGCAGCACTCTAGGACAGGAACATGAAATGGATACGAAGAGCAAATGACTGGAAGCAACATTCCGTTCATTTTCCTTTAAAAATTTGCTTACATAATTTCATTTTCCTTTAAAACAACCTTTTATTTTCCTTTGAAAAATTATTAACTCCGTTCATTCTAAATTAAAAATTGTAAATTCCTTGAATTTCCCTTGTAAATTCCCTGAATTTCCCTTTAAAAAATAGAAATTTGTGTCATTTTCCCTTAAACAATGATGAATTCCTTTCATTTTCCTTTGAAAAATGATAAGTTCCGTTCATTTTCCTTTTAAAAAATAGATTCATTTCACTTTCCTTTCAAAAACTGATTATTTCCTTTCATTTCCTTTAAAATTTCAAAAATTCCTTTAATTTTCTATTTTGTTTGTTTATTTATTGGTTTTAATCCTATGGTTTCCTATTTTTTGGTGGGGCCTGAAAATCGTCCTATTTTCTTATGTTTCCCTATTTTCCCATTTTTCCTATTTTCCCGAAAGCATTGCGAAGGGTTCTTCCGGAAAATCCTTTGAACACTGACACTTCGACACTTACACTTACACATTGACACTTTCACCACACTTGCACGACAACATGAACGCTATGCACGACAACATGAACGCTATACGTAGCCCTGTGTAAGTGGAAGAGCGAAAGCAGTGAAGTGCAAAGTATGCAATGCAAGTGTCAAAGTATGCAAGTGGAAGTATGCAAGTGTAAGTATGCAAGTGATGAGTATGCAAGCACGCAATGAGTGCAATGAGTAGGCAAGTGTGAGTATGGAAAACTAGCACGGGAGATGTCCTAATGAAAACAAGGCTCTTGTGGGACACTCTTGTAGGACACTCTTGTGGGACACTGTTGCGGGACACTCTTGTGGGACACTCTTGTGGGACACTCTTGTAGGAAACTCTTGTGGGATACTCTTGTAGGACACTCTTGTGGGACACTCTTGTAGGACACTCTTGTGGGACACTCCTGTAGGGCACACTCTTCGTACGAGACTTCCTCCAAAAGTCACGCTGCGAGGCTGCAAGACGAGCGTTTCGTACGAGACTTCCTCCAAAAGTCACGCGTCAAGTCTCAAAAACGAGCGTTTCGTACGAGAGTCCCTCCAAAAGTCACACGTCAAGTCCCCAAAACGAGCGCTTCGTACGAGACTTCCCCCAAAAGTCACATTTCACGAAAACAGCGCTTCGATGCCACACCCTGCAACGCAAATCCCAATGGCACGGCCACATCCAACACCCCAAAAACACGACTCTCCAAATGCTAATCCCAATGGAACTACGCAGCACTCTGCAGATCTCACAAAACGCTGCGCCTGCGCAGCGAAAGGCATCACGTTTCTTGCGCCACATCTCATTTTCATGCAAATCACAATGGAATAGCGGCGCAAACTGACACGTGACACATCCATGAAAAGTCACTTGCAAAAGCTTCCCCCAATGGCAGCGCCTTAGCGTCCTACTGCGAACGGTTGCGGACGGTTGCGAACGGTTGCGAACGGTTGCGGACGGTTGCGAACATAGAAGCAACGGGTCGCGAACAAGGCTCTACCCCCAGACCCCCAAGAGTTAAACGAGAACCCTTCGCTACGCATTCGGGCAAACATTTCCCCACTAGGGTGGGACGAACAACGTCAACCGAAAGCGCAACCCTCTGCGGAGATCGTGCGCGTCGAGTGCGCGACATGCAGGTGAGAGTGCGATTCGCCGGCTGCCCGCGCAACCCTCTGCGGAGATCGCGCGCGTCGAGCGCGCGAAATGCAGGTGAGAGTGCGATTTGTCCGGTCCGCGCGCAACCCTCTGCGGAGATCGCGCGTGTCGAGTGCGCGAAATGCAGGTGCAGATAGACCGTGGGCTTGCTAATGAGTTAAGATAGTTATCTTATTTATTAGGTTGTTGTTAAAGAGTTATTTCAAAAATTAACTCATTAGCTAACTAGTTAGCTAGCAAGTTAGCTAACTAGTTAGCTATTTCAAAATGACGTTTTGGGTGTTGGCTGGGAGCGCTTTCAGCCACTGCTGTTGGTTGCGTTTATTGTGTGAAATGAGCAATGTCTTTTCAAAAGTTCTATAAAACAACAAAAATGGGCGCCATTGCAACATGAATCTGCAATGAGTTTTCTGCGCCCACAAAGGCTGAAAGCATATAAACTACATGGACCTGTAAGGGCCACAAAATAGAAACATTGTAAACAACATGGACCTGCAAGGGTCTCATACATCAGCTTGTAATGGCTGTCATGAATTGGCTCTTGGCGTTAGCTTGTATTAGCTGCCATGAACAACATGGACCTGTAAGGTGTAAGGGTCTCATACATCAGCTTGTAATGGCTGTCATTGGCTCGTGGCGTCAGCTTGTAATAGCTGCCATTAGTGCTGCACTCACACAGTTCTTTTCACCTCCAGGCCAAGGGGATCAAGGTAGTGTAAGTTTCATCGTTCACAGAATATGTCAGTGGTGTTAAAATTTGCTGCACATCCACAACTGCCAGGCCCTGTGTGCTTTTTCCATACACAAGACTTTTGTTCACTTAACATAAGACTGAACTGTGCCACTACAGACACACATTGCTCAGCATGTGACAAGTGAACATTCACCATTCCACATTTCCAAGTGGGGGGGCACATGAAGTACAACATCACCCTTGCTCACAGTGCTGCCACGCACCATCTTCACTGTGTGGCCTGTACACACATCCACAGCAAAGGGCCAAATTAGCTGCCCAATGTGCAGAAGTGTCTTTGGCAAAGGTGATGCTTTCAAAAGGCCAGGGTCTTGGCGCAAACAAGCTGGACCACTCAAAGAATGAAACTCTTGGTTGATGACTTCACCCAGACCCCTCTTTCAAACATTTTGCGTTGTACATGCCCACAGCACGCCTGGACACATCTTTATGTTTCCTCTCTGCTGTAAAGCAAGAAGCTGTCACCCCATGCTCTTCCAAGTGGGCAGGAAAACGCAGGAGCCAGTGATGTTTCTTTTTCATGCACTCCTGCCAGCCAGCAGCCATCCACGCAATACAAGTAGGCACATAGCTGCAGCAGGTAGAGCCACCTTTTCCACTGAATGTGTCAGAACTGGCTCCAAAGTCATCAATTCTGACGCAGTGGCATCGATCTTCTCACTCTTGCGATGTTTTTTCACTGGCGTACACTCATGGCCCTGTGTGGAGATCAAAACTGACCTAAAAGTTTGTAGCCAAACACTTGCTGGAAGTGATGCTGATTGGAAACATCTAGCAAGGATCTACATCTAACTCTTGGAAGGCTATGAAGCTTGCAAAGGCAAACGCAGCACAATTCTGCACAGTGAAAGGCCACACAAACCACCAAACAAACAAAGAAACAATACTGGAGGCAGGGAACTGGAGAGAACTGGAGGAAGGGAACTGGCAGAAGGGAGCTGGAGGAAGGGAACCGGAAGCAGGGAACTGGAGGTAGGGAACTGGAGGCAGGGAACTGGAAAAAGGGAACTGTTCGTGTTTGAGTTTGTAGTTATAAATGCAAATACTTACAGTTCGTATGAACCTTTTTTCTAACCCTTGTAGGTTGTCTTGAACTTGTTTTGAACCCTTCTAGGTTTGCTTGAACATGGTTTAACCCTTCTAGGTTTGCTTGAACTGCTTTGGAGTCCTTCTAGGTTTGCTTGAACTATGTTTAAACCTTTCTAGGTTTGCTTGAATTTGTTTGAACCCTTCTAGGCTTGCTTGAACTTTTTTGGAACCCTTCTAGGTTTGCTTGAACTTTTCTTAACCTTGCTAGGTTTGCTTGAACTGTTTTGAACCCGTCTAGATTTGCTCGAACATATTTTTAAGCCCTTCTAGGTTTGCTTGGGCCATCCCACCCTGCAAGCCTTTCTAAATGGTATCATGCATGTGTTTGGCTTGTTTGTTCCTTGCCAAAGGGTACATTTACACCTGGCATGAGTGATGCTTTCAAAAAGCTAGGGGCCACCACATGGTGAAGTATAACAACAACAACAACTACTACTACTACTACTACAACTACAACCTTCAACATGAGCTTGCCAAGGCAGGTGACATGAGCCTGCACAGGCATTTGACATGAGCCTGCACCGGCAATTGACATGAGCCTGCCAAGGCAGTTGGCATGAGCCTGTACAGGCAGTTGACGTGAGCCTGCAAAGGCAGTTGACATGAGCCTACAAAGGGCATCCATAGCCTGCAAAGGCCACATGCGTTTACAACATGCAGAGCCTGCACAGAAGGCAACCCCACATTTTCCATTCCGATGAAGCCAGCACAGGCTAGTATATACACAGACAGGGTGTGGCTTAAACACACAAGCAGCCTGCAAAGACTTGAAAAAGTAAGCTTGCATTGCCTGACCTATGCAGCTTGCGCAGACTTCCAGAAATTGTGCCTGCAAAGGCTCCAAACTTGAGCCTATATTGACTGAAACTGTTTGAGAATGTACAAAGATCCATGCGCCAGCCAAAAAAAGGGCTTTTTCACATCACCCACGCCTTCACTTGTTGCGCTGGCTGCACACAGTCATGGCTCAGGCGCATGGATTTGTTAATGTGTTTTCCTTCTTGTTAGGGGCAATGGCACTGCTTTGTGTTATCAAGACAGGACAAAGAAAAAACGTTATTTCCTTTTTTACT